AGAATTTCTCACTTAGGCAGAGTCTCGCATGGGTCTAGGAGAGTCTCTCGGTGTCCCAATCACAGAAGAATAAAACATTGTAAAGCTTCAAACTGGAAAGAAAATGATTCTGCCTGGAAGTTGCAAGTGTTACTTCCACTTCCACTGCATTCACCAAAGCACGTCACCCAGTGTTCTCTAACCTCAAGGGGCCAGCAAGTTATGATCAATCCCAGAAGGAATCAGAGAACGAAAACTGGAAATGTTGACAAGGGGCTGCTGCATTTATTCTGACACCAGAGTATGAGGAGGAGTCATTACTGAAGACTCTGAGGGAAAAGCATTTCAGCCAGAGGGAATAGCAAAGGTGAGAGTCACTGGTGGGAATGAGCATGGAGTGTTGAAGAGTGGAGATGAGAGGATGATAAGCCTGGAGGAGACGAGGAGCAGAGTCTGAGGAAGTCAGGGGGCACATCGTAATGGCCTGGTAGCCCTACGAAAGGGTTTGGCTTGTATTCTAGGTACATTGGGAATCACTCATAATATTTCAAGGAGAGAATGGACAGATCTGAATTACACTGTCAGATCATACACATCTTCCTGTACAATGCCTCTCTACCTGTCAAGTCCAGCTCAGAGGCCTTCTTCTCTTTGAAGCTTCCTCTGGCCCTCTCAGCTAGACTTGAGAAATCCACTCTCTGTTCTCTCTCTTCTTGGCTTAAGACTCCATTTAATCAATGATAGATTTGCCTCTCTTTCTCTTCATTAGACAGTAAAAACCTTGAGGGCAGGTATCTTATCTTTTTGTTTCTTTTATCCCAGGGCCACTTGTGATACTCATAACACTGGAGTATGAGAACTCCTGAGAACATTCTCCTGAGAACGAATAAACTCTGAACCTGACTCCAATGCTCAGAGTCATGAAGGACCACAGAGCTAGAGGGGAGTTTCAGGACCAGTTAGTACAGTGGTTTCCAAATGGTTAAGGACAGCAGTTGTTCAGAGTCATCTACAAAACCCCAAATGAGAAAGAATTCTAAGTGAAGGGGGCTGTGTAGGGAGTGGAGTCCTTCTCGCTTTCCCTACTTGTCTGCCAAAACTGTAGGGGCTGTTGAGATCTTCTGAGGTTTCTAAGGACAGCCAGAGCTCTGAGGCTCACAATTTTAAAGCTACTGATTTAACCCATCACCTATATTTCTTCAAATGAAAAAAAAAAAAAAAAACCTGAGAGAAAGCTAGGTCAAATGAGTTCCTAGAGTCACAAAAATAATAGCATGGTACGGTCATGTCACGGTGCCTATGAAACTCAAAATAGTTGAGGGCTGAACCTCCTTGCTCCCTTTGTAAGCAGATCTCTCGGGAGTAATGCACCACTCCCCTTCTGGGTCCTCAGAACTAACGTTTAGAAATGGGAGGCAAGATATTCTCTTGGGTGAGGCCAGGACTTTGGAAGTCCTATCATTTCGTGTTCTGACAGGTCACATGCTTGCTGCCACTTAGGCCCCCATCTATTCACTCAGGATTTTGCCAGAGGGAGGTGTCTGACTCCGTTTTCTGGGCCTTTCCCAATCCTGTATGTTTGCTCAGATCTTTATCCAGCAGGGAAGCCACCCTCCCACCCTAAAAATAGAAGAGAAGAAGAAGACTTACAGAAATACATCAAGATTTCCTCCCCCTTCACAGCCCGAGAGAAGTGGGCACATGCTCTAGGCCTAGTTGTCTCCACGCTCAAATGAGAATGGAGAATTGTGCCTCCACATGTCTGGAACCACCCCTCCTATGCAATTATTTTCAAGTTGGGCTTACCTAGTTTGAAAAGTGTCTTATAAACAGAACCATAGTCGTGTATTAACTGCATCCTATATGTTATCATGGCCATCATCCATTTTATCACCGATAAACTTATATAGTAGAGCAGACATGACAAATTCTGAGGAGATATTTTTTCCTCTTCATTTTCTTGAGGGAAGGAGACTCTGTTACCGACTCCAACTACTTCACACTCCACCCTCAGTCCAATGTCGTCCCGACTCAGAGTAAAGATTAAAAAAAAAAAATCCTATTTTCTATCCAAAGATTTTAACTATAAAACTTTGCATCAAGATAGTGAAGTGGAATTTGACAAAGTTTCTGCTTTCTCAGGAACTTTTTCTGCCCAACTGTGATCATTTAGGCAGCCTGGATACCAACTGTTACTCACACAAAACCAAGGACGTTGCCACCCATTAAATTTTTTTCAGGTGGTTAGAAAAGTCCCCAAATCTAAATACCACCACAAGGATCAAAAGTGACTTCAAGAGATTACCAGGTTCAGACTCTGTTTTACCCAAGAAAGTTATAGAATCACCAGGATGGAGAGCTAGTCTGTTTTTGTTTTTTGACTGGATTTTACAACTGTGCTCCCTCGGCCACAGGGTATATAAAGATCTTTTCATGCAGTACGACATTAACTCCCCACAATGAATTTGTAGGTCAGGACAACTGTCTTCCACCTGGTACAAGGCAGAAAACGACCCCAGGCAAGCCTCCTAAGATCTTATGCTCTTCACCATCGTACCAAGCTGCTGCCCTCAGTCATCTTCTCTAACCAAACCTCTCTTTGCCTAATCTGACCTCCTGCCTCGAAGCAGGAGTGAAGCAATGGTTTCATTTATCAGTGCAGTGGCATTTTCTAGAATTGCCGCCAACTCATCTTCATTGTCTAACCTAGACTTCCTATAATGTAGTAAAATAAAGGCCCAAGTCCTAACGCAACAGAGACCCAGGTAGATGTCTTTTCTCTGGCCCTTACCAGAATTTGGCCACATTACCTAACATCAGTGAGTCTCATTTAGCAAAGTACTTGAAACTAGGAGATACTTAAAAGAATGACAGCCATTATTATGCATTCAGATATTGCCCTTTAATTGTAGACTGCTGGGGTTCACAATATTTGCACACTGTGTGATGTAAAATTTCAAAATTAAACTAAATTCTTACTGAATTCCTAAGTCATTTGATAGCTACATGTATCATATATGAGTGAAATAATATCTTGGTCAGAAAGAGGCACCCGTATGATGTTCTACTCATTTCAAAACCAATATCAACATCCTCCATATTAGAAACAAATCAGAAGATTGAATCTTTCAGGAATACACAGTGCTCAGTGCTAAAAAAATCAATCACCATTTGTTACATTAACTTATTTAAAATGTTGTACATCGTTCATTTACCACTATATTTATAGCCCTGTAGTTTTTAAATCACATGATTTTATAATAGGCAGTCCTTATTGCCTTTGGTATAAATTCAGACTGTAGTAGTTTAGATTATTGTTCACTAAATATTCACTCTCTCCTTTGCACCTCCAATGGAATTGCCTTTCCCCACTTTGACATTGGATTTGATCAAATTACTTGTTTTGGCCAGTGCAATGTTAGTGAACAGGACATAACCAGAGGCTCAAACTGTGCTTATGTTGGGACTGCTATCTGGCATTTTTGTCAGTCATCATGAGAAGAGCAATATACCCTAAATAGCCACCTGTCCAAAGAGAATGAGAGATTCATGGGGTAGACTTGATCCAACTTGAAGCTTGGAACAAAGCCCAATCCAACCCAGTTTAGACTAACCCAATCCCAGCTAACTCACAAATACATAAGAAAGAAATGACTAAAAAAAAAGAAAAAGAAATGACTATTGTTGGATGTCTCTTAGTTTTTTAGGTATTTTGTTATGCAGCATTATTGTGGCAATAGCTGACTGATACACAGGATCTACAAAAGACAGTATACTAATCAGAGCACTTTCCATTGCAAATAACAGAAACCTAACTCAAATTGTCCTGTGTAAAAATAAATCAGTTAACTATACCTGTCACTTTAGGTAAAGCTTGACTTAGATCCTCATTTAATGATATTCAAATGGTATACTTTTACTGTCTCTCAACTCTGCTTTCCTCTGGCTTGGCTTCATTCTCAGACAAGCTCCCTCCATGTGGTAACAAAGATGGTCTCCAGGAGTGCTAGGTTTGCCTTCTACCAGTATATCCACATTGGTACCGGTATTTCTACTTCTAGATATCTACATATCTAGAAGAAGGACAGGACCTCTTTTCTAAAATCTCTAGCAAAACACCTAGGTCTAACTCTCCCTAATTGGATGGTAGATCATGATCGATCTGATTATTGGTCTAATGGGTCAGGTGTGTGTTATGTAGCCATCCCAGCCCAGGTATGGTCTGGTGGAGGTGGAAAGCGAGTCAGTTCCATCCGAACCTCAGGGACTGAAAGGGAGGAAGGAATGGGTCCCCAGGGAAGAATAACACAGTTCCCAAAGTGGTACACAGAAGCAAAAATAACAGTAGATCATAAGAAACAGAGCTATTTAGTACTTGAATTTTTCCTGACTTATGTAAACCACCCCTACTTTAGAGCTTCATATGCAAAGTGCGTCAGGCCTCTGGAGACATTGCTCAGGCTGTCCCAGCATCGGTTTGAGCTCCATGCCTCAGCTTGGCCTCTCTAAACGGCACTCCTCATTTCACTTGCCCTGGTATTTTCCTAGTGTCTTGGCCTATTTAGGTTGTGGTTGTTTGGTCAGAACAGAAGGCTTTAGTTCTCTCCACACTAACCAGAGGGAAATGATCAGACTTAAGACACTAAAAAAAGCTAGAATTCAACCTCTGCCAATTTTGCATAAACTAATCTAAATGTATAGCCAAATCTTGGATTGAAAAGCAGCAAATTATAATTCAGCATCTCTGAGCTGTTCTGGCCAAGCACAAGAAATGAGCCTCCCTCAAAGCATGGTTTTCAAACCAAGCCTGGATATTGGCCACCAATTTTGTAAAGAGCTCTGCCTTCGTGACTTCTCAAGAGTTACTCTGCCAATAAGTTATCACTCTATTTTTAAAACAGGCACAATATCACTTTGAATCAAGAATCATCAATGCAAATTAGCCTAGTACTATTAATAATAACCATCATGAAATTAGTACTGGGTGAATCATCCCACGGGCCTGGATACCTATGCCGCACTGCTGCTCCAGAGGCCAGCACGGGTGCAGGCAAGTGAAGATCACAGCATCAGCAGCCAGTTGGTTTCTTCTCACTGGTTGGAGGAGGTACTGACAGCCTTTTAGACAACAGTTGATCATTTTCTTCCTAAAGACAGAATCATATCTTAATTCCCTTTTTTTTCCTTCCAGTACTTTAGCCAGTTTTGCACACAGTAATATGGCAAATCGAATCTCCCTATGATGTTTCTCTCCCCACAATCAAACCAGATGAATGATTCAGTCCCAGAGTAGATGAGCTACGCTTTTTGTTGATGAACTCTTTTAATAAATAAAGAACAGTGTAATCTAGGCTCTAAATGATAACATGTGTAAAATATTTATTGGCTTAAATAAGCACACAGGTTTAGAGACAAGGCAGCCTTCATTTTCGAGTTTTTCCAGGTCCAAATGTACCACTGTAGGAGGTGAGAGACCATTATGAGTGTTTCTAACCACTCTCTGAACTTTTTAAAAAGTCCTAACTAAGACATAAATAGATTTAAGAGAGCTGTTTTTTTTAACGAATGAGGTTTATATTGCTGGGTATTGGAAGAAGCAAGGAGTATTTGCAGGACTACTCAAAGTTTTATCTGCTATACCCTCCATCAACCACTTTTTAACATCATATTCCAAGAATGGTTATTAAGAATGCTAATCATAGGTCAAGTCCAGGATATTCTTATCCCACAGAAGAGGAAGATGAGATTCTAAATCATTCAGGAACACCCCTGGTTCCTCAGTTATCATCCAGGATGAGAACTTACAGTTCTCATACCCTTTGACAGACTTAAGTTCTTCCCTGACAGAGGGCCAAAGGATTACAGAGGGCAATTTCCCAATGACCAAATTATTTTTATTTTGAACAACACTAATAAAAATTATAAAGTGCTGGCTTAAATAATTCTTGCTGTTTACAAAGACTTTCACATCAGTTAAATGATTTATCAGTTAAATGATTATCCCATTTGAAACATTAACTAGGTAGTCTACATAGAAAAAAACCAGGTACAGATAGGCATCTATATATACATTTACCTCACCGCTCACACCCTCATTATGGGAGTAGTGGAGTCACTATCTTGTCTTTGAAAAATACCATGGCTTCACATGTATACTAGTTCATCCATCTTGTGAGACAGGTGGATATTAACTATAATTAAGACCCTGATTTTGAAGTTAGAAAAACTGAGACAAGCCAGTCATTCAATAAGGCAACCAAGATTATTAATAGTAAAGGAAGGAGGCCAGGCTGCTGGCAGTCCAGTGTAGAGAACACCCCTTCCCAGTGGAACAGGACTGGCTGGTTGATTACAGACAAACCCAGCAGGTGGGTCAAGATAGCAGCTGCTCATACACTTGTCTCTCCTTCCTGCTGACATACTCACCCCATCTCAGCACCACCCCTGCGGGATCTATCAGCTATTAAGTTCTCATTACATGATGCCAGGCACGGTGCCAAACATCTTGTACATCCTATGTCATCGAATTCTCACAATAACTCTATAAGCTGGGGCCATAATTTTGTCTATTTTATAGATGGAGAACTGAAGCTCAGAGAAGTTAAGCAACAAGCCCAAGATCACACAGCCAGTAAAGTTGCAGAGCTGGGATTTGAACCTATTCTGTGACTGCAAAGTTTGTTCCTGTCCCTTGGCCCCCATAAACTTCACTGTCCACGTTTGCTGCCCACATTCTTCCTTCCTTGCTCTCCTTTCCACCACTTTCCAGAATCAGAAGGTATAATAGAAGCAAAAAAAAAAAATAGCTTTTCCTGACAAGACCTCCTCTTCTCAATTTTATTCTGATGAGAATTTTTTAACAGAAACTCTGGGGAAACTTTAAGTCTCATTAAACTCACTTTATGTCAATCAGTAACTCCCTGAGTTAATTTAACACACACAATGGCTATCAACTTACATCCCTGGCCCCTGCTGAGGTAGGTCTTGCAAATAAACCAACCTCATACCTGCAGATAATACTAACTCTTGTAGCAAGCTGGCCTTTTGTCATTGTTGCAATATTAGTAAAGAGTCAGGCAGGACAACTTGTGAGTGAGAGTTCTGTAAATGCTGCTTTGCCTACAAATGCTTATGCAAAGTAACATCAAAGGGGATGGGTATCTTCTGGAATCTAAAACTGCTTAAAAAAGGGGAGTTTGGGGATTAACACCGGAAAAATATGTGCAAAAAAGGGAAGAAATGATAAGAAACCCTTTGTGCTACAAGATTTTCAGTGGGTTTTCTCACCCTTTTTTTATTGAAGTATAGTTGATCCACGATGTTATATTAGTTTCAGGTTTACAACAAAGTGATTCACTTATATATATATATATATATATATATATATATAATTATATAATACATATATATGCATTTTATATATATACAAATATATAAATTCTTTTCAAGATTCTTTTCCATTATAGGTTATTACAAGATACTGAATATAGTTCTCTGTGCTATACAGTAGGCCTTTGTTATTCATCTATTTTATATGTAGTAGTGTGTATCTGTTAATCCCTCAGTGGAGTTTTTAGTTGTGTTTTGCTTTGTTTTCTTATTTTCCCCACATCTGCTGCCTAGCACAGGCTGTTTTCTGTTTCTCTACATTTTAGGAGGGTTATTTGGATGTTTAGCTCTGGACACCGGCCCAACAGAGGTAAGCAGCAGCTCTGCTAGGCCCAAGACAAATTCCAAGTTCCCCTCTCTCCTACTTTCTATAGCCCCCCACTTGCCCAAAATCTAGAACCACAAACTATCTAGTTGGAAGAATCATTTAATCTCCAAACCAAGATTCTTAACCTGTATTGTGCCAGGGAGTCATTTGATAATTCACTGACTGCTTCTCAGAGCAATGATTTTGAATGCATTGAGTAAAATGCATAAGATTATTAAGGAAAACAATTATATTGAAATAGTTATAATAATATTTGTAATTGTGGTAAAGTAACTGTTAAATAGAAAGATCTAGTAGTGGGTCTAATCTTTACCACAATTTCAAAGTAGTGATACGAGCATAAAGAACAGTTTGAGATACCTGTGACAACTAGCTGTAATGTGATGTGTGACAGAGGGCTGATATTATCATACCATGGGGATTTGTCCATATTTATAATTGATGGAAAAGTTATATTTCAACTAAAGCGTAGGAAACAGAAGAAGTAATTTTTTTCCTATCTAAGTTCACGGACACTCTAACTGCTACCCATGGATCTGCTGATGGATCCCAAGATAAGAACACCTTTTGTAAAGATCTACACACTGGTTATTACTCTCCCTTAAATGTTTTCACCGCATGAGTTCTGCACACTCTCTGCCCTGCACCTTGACCTGAAGAGCAACCCTTTCTAAGTGAGGAGCTTATGCTTCACACCTGGATTTCTAGCACCTGTCAGTAAGATTGTTTTAAAACAATCTTTACCATTGATTATGACTGAATTGATTATGACTGAATCTCTAGGAAACCTGAAATGGCAGATTTTTGTTATTCTTCTCCAGCTATTAAACTTAGAGTTTTGGAAATAGAAGTCAGCCTCCAAAGGGCTTGACAGTGAAAAAAGTCCATCTGCAGGTAGCTGGATTAAACCAAACCAAGGCTTTGCCTACAAAAATGAGGTGTTGGGGGCTTCCCTGGTGGCACAGTGGTTGAGAGTCCGCCTGCCGATGCAGGGGACACGGGTTCGGGACACGGGTTTGTGCCCCGGTCCGGGAAGATCCCACATGCTGCGGAGCGGCTAGGCCCGTGAGCCATGGCCGCTGAGCCTGCGCGTCTGGAGCCTGTGCTCCGCAACGGGAGAGGCCACAGCAGTGAGAGGTCCGCGTACCGCAAAAAAAAAAAAAAGAAAATTTTTTTTCAAAAAAAGGGAAAAGAAAAGTTCAAGAAAATAGCAAAGAGAAAGAGAGAGAGAGAGAGAGAGAGAGAGAGAGAGAGAGAAAAAGGTAGAAATAAAAGGAAAGAAAAACAAGGAGATTTTAATAAGACTCTTAAAATATGACAATCCAACATTAGAAATCGCCCTGTCTTCATTGTCATTGTTACTTAGCATTAGTCAGCACACAGTTCTGAATGTCAGCTTTTAGCTTTGCAGCAGGACAGGGTTTGAGATCAGTCTCCCTAGTATGAAGAGGACGAAGAGGACTGTGCAGAAAATCAACCAACACTCAAGTGAAAATTACACTCCTTATCTCAGAGGAGTCTATGAAATTCGGGCAACTTCAAGTTTGAGGGCCAGCTCTCAAACACAGTGTTTTTGGAAAAGACTATCTTAAACATATATATAGCTATGCAAATTCCACGTTTCCTTTCATGCTATTTTCGGATTGTTTTTCAAATTAAACATTAGACTCTGCAGCACACAGAGGATGTTAGATTAGAGGGCCGGGTGAGTTCCACAAGGTTTGGGTTTTCCGCACTTGCCTAGAAATAGCTTTTCTCTGGGTGGGCCAGGTGAAATGCAACAAAGTTATTGTTACCTCACTTCCCTTGGCTTTTTGGGTGGAGAAGCCAGATGAAAGAGAAAAAGAGAAGAGGAAAAATAAAGGAGCGGCCAGGGAGAAAGAACAAGGGAGGGAGATGCCGTTTTGGATTCAATGAGGTCAGAGGGATCTACCATCAGATTTTTGCTGTTGTTGTTTAAAGAGCAAATAAAGAACAGGTTTTAAAAAAAACTGGGCTTATAACAATGATGAGAGCAGAAATGTTCGCCTACCGCATTGGACGTCAGTGCTGGTTTGCCCAAGATGTGACGAGCAAGTGCAAATAGACCCCACGCATTCAGGTCGCCGCTGGCTCCGTCCTGTCAACCAGCTGGGGCTTTTGGCTGCACTGAGTTCGTTTACACAACAGCGATGAGCCTTGGCTGGGAGTTAAAAGAGAAACTTTCTGCTCGAGTGCTTAATATTGTACCAAAAATGAATGCACCATCATACTTTTTCAAGGACTCCTTCTACAGTTGCTCCATTAAATTATATAACCTGGCACAACTAGTCGGGTTTCTTTCATTTAGAAGAATGTACCAGCAGACTTCTTTCCAGCTAGAGGAGAATGCTTCTAATTATGTGACCAGTTCAGTTACTGAAATACACTGTACTATTAGCCAGGTGATTGAAGAGCGGTTTTGACAAGCTCAGAGCCTGTCAGGGACAGGAACATAAGGCCTTAGGCCAACATCCAACTCTTTCCTGCCTACCTAGAGCCACTATCTGAATAATTCACGGTTTCCATATGGGGGGGGAGGGTGATGTTTACATATTTCACAGACCTTATTTTTAGCAAATTAACAATAACTGGAAAAGAAGCAAGGGCTTTGTACTTCTGCAGAAAAGCAGTGCTTCCAAAAAGCCCTTCCCTCCGTCTCCTGTTATAATTTATAGTATGACGAAACTATAAATCAGTCATCATACCAGTTAATTTTTTTTTCAACAGCTATTACATCTGCTACTTTTGCTTCAGGACATGAAGGGACAAACACAATTGTTATCAAGGAATGAATTGTGTGGGATAAGAGCTTTGCGGTGCTGCTTTCTCCAGGAAGATGTTGATGGCAGGTGATTCTCCGGGACTCATACCACCTCCTCCAGCAGCACCCGGAGAAAGTCCGCACTGGCTCAGAGTCAGATACAGATGCTCAAAACCACATCTTTCAGAGATCCCCAAACAAGGACATTTCCCTCGGCCTCTGGCCATCCCTCATTTCCTTGGGTTGTTGCTGCTTCTGTGACGTATTTCACAAAGCTTGAGGCTGGAAACCCCCTCCCAGGGCGAAAGCTTGCTTCTTTCCCTGCGGCGATCACCTCCTAACTTCGAAGCACCTTCTTTCTGAATTACATACATGCCTTGTTTACCCCTTTCTTTCTGTCTTAAGCACATTTTTGAATTCCTTTTACTCCATCCGCCATCTGGATCGGCACAGCCTGTAGCCTGGGTGGTAACTGGCTTTAGATGCGGTCATCAGAGTGCTGAGCATTTTTATATCCAAATGAAAAGGGTTGTTCTCTCAGCAAAGCTGAACAAGTGATGACATTCCTTGGGCTACAAGGAGTCAAGCTACACGGGCTAATTTTGACCCCAGGAAGTGACTACAGTTTCCCAGCTCTCTTCACCTCCCTTCCCACCCCCAAAAGGCCTTCATGGTAAACAGAACCCTGGGTCTCCAGTGTCCCTGTCCTGTATGAGAACATGGCAGGGGCTCAGTCAGGGGCACTGGGCTCCCTGCTGGGAAACCCCTTCAGTCCCAGCTCCTCTAAGCCCCTCCTGAGCAGCGCCTGAGAGGGGACTTCATTTCTGTGAGCTCCTGTGTCCTCATTTGCAAATCAGAAGGATGAACTCCTGGGTCCACAAGATCCCCCCTCTCCCCACTACTAACCCTAGAAACCCACAATGAGGCGTATAGGGTAGATTGAACAGACATGTTTGTTCTTTTTCTCTCTCTATTTTTAACAATATTTGAAATGTTTTTGTTTTTATTTTTTTAAATCCTATTTTCTTTATTTCCTGCTCTGAAAGGGTAAGGCAGGAAATAACATGCCTACTTTAAAGAAAGAAAAATGTCAGCTCCCACAATAAGGTGAGATATAGACATAGATATAGACATAAATTCACTTATTTATTGAGTTCTTAGTAGATGGCAGATATGTGCTAAGTACTACACAGTTGCAATTGCTGAATTACTTGTATACATTCTTTTGTTTTGTTTTTTTTTTACTTATATACATTCTTTTTTTTTAAAACTTATTTATTTATTTATTTTTGGCTGTGTTGGGTCTTCGTTTCTGTGCGTGGGCTTGCTCTAGTTGTGGCGAGCGGGGGCCCCTCTTCATCGCGGTGCGCGGGACTCTCACTGTCGCGGCCTGACTTGTTGTGGAGCACAAGCTCCAGACTCGCAGGCTCAGTAGTTGTGGCTCACAGGCCCAGTTGCTCCGCGGCATGTGGGATCTTCCCAAACCAGGGCTCGAACCCGTGTCCCCTGCATTGGCAGGCAGATTGTCAACCACTGCGCCACCAGGGAAGCCCTACTTATATACATTCTTAATCAGCCTTACCACCTAATAGAGCAAGCAAATCGCCCCTGATGTGTCCTAGAGATAGGATCTCGTGTAAACATCCCTGGGCTGGGATTTAGGAGACCTGAGTTCAGAGCCAAGTGCCTCTCTCTCTCTCTCTCTCACTGGGACCTGACTCTCAACCAAATACATTAATTTTGGGCTCAATCACTGAAATGAATCTGTCCAATTCTTTCCAGCTCTTAAATTATACCATCTGCAAAAGACTATTGCAAAATAATATTCAACGTCATTAGCCATTGAGGAAATGCAAATTAAAACCACAGTGAGATATCACTTCACACCTGTCAGAATAGCCAAACTAAATAACAGTAACAATACCAAATACTGGAGAGGAGGCAGATTATACTAGATCCATTCTACACTGTTCGTAGAATATACCATGGTAGAGTCACTGTGGAAAACAGGTAGGCAGTTTCTTATAAAGCTAAACATGCAACTACAATACAAGCCTGCAATTGGACATTTATTGCAGGGAAATTAAAACTAAGGGTCACGTAAAAACAGTATATAGCTATTCAAGGAAGATTTATTCATATTAGCTTAAAATTGGAAACAACCCAGATGTACTTCAGTGGGTGAATGATTAAACAAACCATGATATATTCATACCAGGGAATACTACTCAGCAATGAAAAGGAACAAGGTACAGATACACAATCTAGTGGATGAATCTCCAGGGCATTATGCTGAATGGAAAAAGACAATACCAAAAGGTTATACACTGTATGAGTCCACCTTTGTAATATTCTTGAAATGACAAAATTATAGAAATAGAAAACAGAGTAGAGGTTGCCAGAGGTCAGGGATGGAGGAGGGGTGAAGTGGGACAGGGAGGTGGTGATGGAATTTTTCTGTATCTTTTTTTCAATGTCAATATTCTGGATATTGTACTTTCATTTTTCAAGATGTTACCATTGGGGGAAACTGAGTCAAAGTTGCAAGTTAGGCAGTACACAGGATTTCTATTATTTCTGATGACTCCATGTGAATCTGCAGTCATCTCAAATAAAAAGCTTAATAAAAAAAATACTACTGCCTATTCTGATAGTATTGTGTTTCCTTGTTCCAGCTTGAGCCCTAATGAAAATTTGGGGGAGGTCTGGGGAAAAATAGGCAAGAGGTTGACAAAATGACAGCAAGGTTCTTGCCCAGCCTTTGAGCCCCCTTTGTGATGCCAAATGCGAGGAATGTGTGTCTGCCTTCAGCAGCTGTGTGAAAGCTCAGGACTGAGCAGAGACCCTCTCAACTTTTAAGAGACAGGTGGCCTCTCCAGGGAGAAAGTGTCCCTTAAAGATAATGCAAAATAGCCCCAAGCTGAATAGAACTTTTACTGTCCTGACCATCTGAAAAGCTATTGACAGGCAGGGCTGTGCTAATGAAGTTAAAGTGCTTTGCTTCTGTTGGCGGAAGCAGCAAATCTGGTTCTAATGGCTTTTCTTCAGAGAAATTCAGGTGCTGTGCACACAGGACCCTCACAGCGGCAAATGCAGACTTATCAAAGCTAACACTCCACCCCTTTCTAGTGACAATATTGCAATAAGAGATGTAAAGGCTGAAAGGCCTGACCAAGAAGGCTCACTCAAAGTCTACGGAGGGAATACTGGAGGTAACAGCAGTTAGCATTTATCTGGCACTCACGGGGCACTATCATGCAGTATCTCATTTAATCCACACAGGAACCTGAAGAATTGGGTGTAATTATCCTTATGGTTTACAGATGTGGAAGTTAAACTTCAGAGAGGTTAAGTGACCTGCCCAAGGTCATAAGGGACAAGCTGAGATGTCGCCAGATGCAAAGCTGAGTTCTCCATCCCTGTGTAGGAAAGCAGTCTTCCGGATGGTGTGTAGTAGGACAGATCTGCTTGAATGGGGACAAGGTGTGCCCAGAGACATGATCAGGTACATTTTATAGAGAAAATAAATCATAACCGACTTTTTATAGCCATTCAAAATTTACAGCAAGGACCTATTGTATAGCACAGGGAACTCAGCTCAATATTCTATAATAACCTAAATGGGAAAAGAATTTGAAAAAGAAGAAATATATGTATATGTATAATTAAAACACTTTGCTGTACACCTGAAACTAACACATTGTGAATCAACTATAGTCCAATATGAAATAAAAATAAAATTCATCTCAAAAAACAACACAAAAATTTACAACAGCTCAAGTTACTATGGCATAGAATTTGAATGGTCCCTTCTCTCAAGTTCCCAAATAATTTAATAATTACTCTTTTGGGGTGTACAGCTCTGATACCTAACACTCACCTCCAGAGAAGGCTCTGGAGTGGCTGCACCATGTGGTGCCCTGAATCCTCCCACCTTCACACTGTAATATTCCTGTGATTATGACCTTGGTGCCCATTTGGGTTAGTATCTGGGAAGTTCTTTATTTAGCATGCGCATATAAAACCTATACCTTTGCTTTAGATATAATTTGGTCTTACTTCACATTTTTTCTTCTACTTACAGAAGGTATGTGTGACTACTTATTATTGGTATTATTATCATCTATAAATAGTTGCTCCTCAATGCAAAAAATCGTTTTATTGAATTTCTCTATTGTTGCTTAACGGTGATAATTAAAGTCTGACCCTTGATAAAAGTACAGTAAATTACAATTTTCTTTAAGAAATGAAAAAAACAAGATGTGTTTCTAAAAACAAAAGTTAAACACTATTTAGTTTAATTAGTTAATTAAAGAGAAACATAGCTTTCCATGGCCTTAGAAAATGACTATTCAAAATAGTTACTGATTACTGAGGAGTGTAAATATTTTATGACCTTTTCATAATTTTAATTATTAAGTTCAATAAAATTATATACTTCAATAATTTCTTGGATGCTTACTCCATGGTTAACTTTTCAAACTTTCTTATGACTTGTTTCAAACATTCTGAAGAAAGCAGACATTTAAGTTTTTTAAATCAATTATCTGGCTCTTTAAAAGCCTATGTTTCCTTTCAGTAATTTATATTTTAAATTGACTTTAATTTGTACAAATACTTACTGTGAACTTGTAAAATCAGGAGTTTGGCAGGCTATACACAGCAATCCCTTCCTTCCAAAAAAAGATGTAACTCACTAGCTAGGCAATCCAATGAAGACTATCTCAAATTTAGATTAGCGTAGCCTGGTAATCCTTCTCATCCTCGTTTAAATGTCCTACTTGTTAGGAGAAGTTATCAAATTAAGCCTTGGTGGCCAAGCAAACTACGTCAGCCACTACCACAAAGCATCCAGTTTACCCAGGGGGAAAAATACTGGAACATTTTAAAACATCTGCAAGCACGAAATAAGAAAGTATCAGATCAAAGAGAGGAAGCTAGTTACAAGGTCAGTGGAGCAATTAATAAGCAAATACAAGAAGTCTCATAAAAGTCCAGAAACGTTCATTTTCCTTTCCTGCATGAAAACTGTCAAATTCATGCTTGGGAGCTATAACAAAGGAAATAGAAAAGGTGCCGCTTTTGAATAATAGAGTTAGTAGATTGGTGTCATGCTAGGTAAATAAAGACAATTGATTCCAAAGATTATTCCTGAAGTATGGATGACTCTTTGGAAATCAGTAACCATGGTCAGTTAATGGCTTTGTTGAGAGTCTCTGGCAAGAACTCTTGAAAGAACATTATTCTACAGAATAATAACAATTAGAGTCATGTTAGTAAGTTAACTGAAAATTTTTAAAAAGCAAAAATGTACTCAAGAAGAACTACTCAAAGAAGTAAATGAATAATTTGAAACACATTTAAAATATTATAGAACAGCTGGAAAGTTTGCAGCTGTGATAACACAAGTGTAAAGGTTTACATCAAGAGTTTGTTTTGAAAACTTCAAGATTCCAGCTTCTTATTGTTTTATTCACAGAGAAACTCACTGTTTTGAGAATTCACATCACATACAAATGACAAGTTACCAAACTCATTTCCCCATCAATTTCCTGATCCAGATACTGAGTGATGTTTCAGCTTACTAACCCCAGGCAACAAGAGTGTATATTTAACTTCCAGTTGTGTAACTAAGGAATCAACATATATTGATTGAGCAACTATTATGTGTACCTACTGAGTCAAGCACCAAGAATAGAGTGATGAATAAGACAAACGGGTTCCTTACATCATGGAAGTTACTTTTTTTTTTTAGCAGCAGAGACAACATTAAAGACAATTAATTACAACTGTGGTAAATGTTCAGAAGGGGAAGTACCTGGTGATATGAAAGTGTATAATGCGGTCCAGATATAGCCAAGGGCATCAGAAAAATTATCCTTAAAAAGTGACATTTGAACTAAGGCCTGAATAAAATCTCAGGGAGTTCAACCAGGTATTGAGCAGGACAGGGTGGCTGGGGGTGAAGTTGGGGAACACTCCAGGCAGTATTAATTCTAGAGACACTGTAATGGCTCCATGACTGAAAGGAGCATGATGCACTTATAAAACGCAAAAGAAAGTCTATGTAACTATGGTCGTGTGGAAACCTCTAGCAAAAGATCCAGGACTTGGATCACGATGGCAACAGTGGTGATGAAGGGAGGTGAATGAATTTGAAAGCTAGTTTCCAACTTAAATCAATTAGGCTTGGAGATGGCTTAGATGCAGGAATTCATACAAGGAGATGAAGGTGTCAAGGATGGTTTGGGGATTTCTGGGTTGCCCGGCTAGATTGGTGTCATTCGGTGATGAAGTCACATATTCAGTTTTGAACATGCTCTATCTGAGAAAGCCCCAAAGAGAAGTGTGCATTGGAGATATAAATTTAGGAGTCACTGATGTAGAGATTACTGAAGTTATAGGCATAGTAAGATAACCTAGAAACAGAATATGGAGCTAAAAAAGGAGAGAGTCTGACTCACTCCTGAGGACTTCCAACATTAAAAAACTTAGCGATATTTATCTAAGGAGAGATGACAGAAGTGGAAGAAAAGGCAAGAGATTAACAGCATCACCAAAGTCAAGGGAAAACTTTGAATTAAGCCAAAATCCCAGCATGCCTCACAATTCCAGTAAATGTCTCTTTGTGGTTATCTAGACACATGGTTTAAACAGTGCTTGTGACTATAAATAAATAGCATTTTTGTTCACTTTTGGGTTTGTTTTTGTTTTCCCCAGGAACTATAATTTGGATGAAATCTCTGAAGGAAAATATATCCTAAGTTCACAGTCCAATATGGTAGTCACTAGCTCCCTATGGTTATTTCAATTAATTAAATTAAAATAAAATTAGGTTAAGAATTTAACTTTTCAGTTTCACTAACCACATTTCACATGCTCAGCAGCACATGTGCCTAGTGGCTACCATTTTGGACACTGTAGATGTAGAACATTTCCATCCTTATACAATAGTTCTGTCTGATAGCTCTAGTCTAAGAGAATCCTATGTCCATGAGAAGACATGATTAAGTGAACCAAAAGTGAAGCAATGTCCCAGGTATTAAAATATTTCCCCCATTCCAGGAAGTCAGGAGGGAGAAGAAAGGATGGCAAGGGTCAGAAAAAAACAGGATGCAGCATTTGCCTCTATTATAGATGAGAGGACTGGGACGGGTGATAAATGTGTTTCAGAATCTCTTCAAAGGGGAAAGGGCAGAAAGTTAGTCTGAGGGACTTTCAACTAGAGACCAAGGAATGCAAGGTCTTTAAGTTCAAGCTCTGACATGAGCAGGAGAGAGTTCCTTCAAGAAGGGAGATAACCCCCACTATAGGTGTCCTTTTGACACGCTTGCCTAAATTAAGCTTCACCTTTCTAGATAAGTTAGAAATTCTGCCAATACAACCTATTGAAGGACACATTTTAACTTTAAACTTTATGCTATGAAACCCAGAAAAGGACATTAATAATGATGATGAAAGGGGTTTTCCTCACTCTCAAAAACTCATGGAAGATATGTTTGGATGAAGCTTTTTGATTTAGATTCCAGGCATTTTTTTTCTCACCCATCTTGCTACAGCCAATGTTCTCTCATATTAAGGGGAAGAGATAACTGAATACTCCAGAAACATAGCTTCAAATATTGAAATTAGAGTGTTTCAGGAAAAAAATAGTTTTTAAATATGATATCACTGCTCACTCACTGAATGCTATTTATGAGTGTACCAGATATGAAGAATTGAGTTACTTCAGTGAAACTATTTTATTGAATATGGGTTAACATGTTTGTAAGTCATTAAAAAGTGGAGTCCCTATATTTTGCCCAAATAGCAATAAGTGTAAAGGCCCCATCCTTGTTTTAGAAGATATAATAAAAACAGCAACAACAATAATTAACATGAAATGAGCCCTTACTATGGGCCAGGTTCTTTGTACTTATTAGCTCATTTAATCGTCACAATAATCATATGAGGTGAGCACTGTAATTATCCCATTTTACAGAAAAAAATACCAATATTAAGACATTTTAATAGGATCAGTATAATAGAATGACAGAGATCAAATTTCCATACCTAAACTGATCAACAGAACATTGATTCAACTATTCAATTGAGCAATAAAACTAGAAATGACTGTGGAAGAAAACTTCCATGTGGGCCAGACTGGTTGTGAAATGGAACTTTTAGGAGTATTTTTCAAAAGAAATATTTGCTAATTCATGTATTTAAAAATAACTTATTGACTGTCTGGTGTATACTGGGCACTGGACTATAGGCTGGAGATAAAAAGCTGAATAAGATAAAATATAAACCATACATGTATACAAAAGAAAAAGGCAGTGAAAGGGAAGAATGTTCCAGATAGTTGTGTCAAAAAAGACTCTCAAAACAGATGTGTGACTGATCCTCATTCTCTCTCTCTCCTTCCCTCTCTCCCTCTTTTTTCCTCTCCTTCTCTCTGTCCCTTTCTGTCCTTGCCTCTTTATCTCTCATTCTAGATACTCCTACATACTTCTAGAAAGATATGTGGTCATAATGAGATAATCAGTGCACCCATATGTCTTCATTTGTCTGAGACCGTCTCAATTTATACCTACTGCTAAGGTACAGTTATAAACAGTGCTTCACTTTACTCTCAAAAGTGTCTTGATTTGGGTGATAAATAATACGATCATCCTACAAATAATATTTGCTTTTGTAGAAACTGAAACAGGGAACAGGGAGGTATACACTCTCATCAACATACCTACAGTTGATCATCTTCCAGAAAAACTTTTTTTAAAAATTTGACTTTCTATTACTGGAAGGAAGTTTTGGCAGGAAACCGCTTTCCACTAAGTCAGAGCAGCCAGTGCTTAGACACATGTGGCAGAAGCAGAATTAGAAGATGGAGAAGGCCAGCCTGGAAGATAGCAGCTTCCACAAATGTCGTGTTCAAAAGATCAAGGTTCTAGTTTCCTAAACTTTCTCAGCAGAATCTTCTCCAAATCCTTGATGACTCCAAGTAAGCCATCACCACCAACCCAACTCTTTCTATAAACTCTGCCTCTGCATTTCCAACCACCTATTCGACATTTGTGTCCAGTGCTCCAAGAGTATTCAAAGTCATCATGTCCACCTTGAATTAATGATGCCTTTCCCCCCCAAGTTGTTCTTCCTCCTGCCCATCCCAATCTCAGAGAATTGCAGGTCTTTCTATTAGTCACACAAGGCAGAAAGGAAAATTGACCTCATCCTTGATACCGCCTACTCTTTCATTTTCACATTGGATAAATGATCAGTTTCTGTAATACCACCTCCTTTCACAGTTCTTTCTCTCCAGACCTACTGTTAGTTTGGGGTCTGGAGAGAAAGTCTCTGTTAGTTTGGGGTTCCCTTAAAGCTTCCTTGAGACCAGGTTTAGGGACAAGTAGTTTATCTGAGAGGTGACCCCAGGAAGAACAGTGAGGGTATGGGGAAGGAGGAAGCAAGTTACCGCTGTGGGCAGCTGGAGCTCACATCCATCAGTGCCCTCTGACAGGCTGTGCTGAATATACCTCAGAAAATCCCACCTGGAGGTGAAGGTGCAGGAGTATCTTTCCACCAACTCCCATCCCTCACTGAGGCTTATTCCTCGGACATTATCTCTCTCAGCACCTTCAGACTCTGCACTCTGGCCAAGCATCCTCTTTCTGTCAGAGAAAGTCTTTAGAAGAGAGTCAGAGGAAGCCTTTGGTGTGATTTGGAACATTATTCACTGCCTTCCGAGTGAGTGC